GTGTTATGGCCATAGGCAGCTGGCTACCTGCTGAAATCAGTTTGTGCCTTATGAAAAAAAAAATAATTCCTGGAAAATCCCATCAGGAATCATTTCTCAGAACAATCCCAGCTTGTAATGTTGTTGCTGACCTGGATCAAAACAAACAGGAGTCCACGCTCCCTTCCACTTATCTGGTAAGGTTATCCCTCTCCAATCTGCTGTTTGCAACAACTGTTTATTGACAGAGAACAATAGTGGCTGCTGAGCAAACTGGGAGGAGCTGGGCACAAGCCTGCAGTCCAACTCAGGTCATTCCTGCAGGAAAAGGTGTGGTGAATCTTCCAGCCCCTGCCCTCTGCTTCAGGAGGTGCCAAGGATGGGGCAGCACAGAAATGCAACCCTCAGCAAGCAGGGAATTAAAGGGTATTGGAAAATAGAAGCATGGAATGGTTTGGGATGGATAATAAATATCATTAGTGCCACTCCTGCCATGGCAGGGACATCTCCCACTGTCCCAGGCTGCTCCAGCCTGGCCTTGGGCATTGCCAGGGATCCAGGGGCAGCCCCAGCTGCTCTGGGAATTCCATCCCAGCCACTCCCCACCCTCACAGGGAACAAATTTCCTTCCCAATATTCCATCTAATCACATTCTCTGTCATTTTAAAGCCACCTCCCCTTGTCCTGTCCCTCCATCCCTTGCAGAGTTTCTCTCCATCTTCCTTGTCAGCTCCTTCAGGCACTGTAAGTCCACAATGAGGTCACCCCAAAGCTTCTCTTCTCCAGGCTGAACAATCCCAATTCTCTCATCATTTCCTCCCAGCAGAAGGATGTAACAAATAAAACCTGAGCTGGGTGTCCATGGGATGGCTCTAAGAAATTGAACCTGCATGTGCTCACTCCAACACTCTGATCAATGCAGCAGCAAATCTTCCATGCACACATTTTACACTTCCACTTTTGCTCCACAGGCTTGGGATGTGTCACAGCACATCCCTGCCATCACTGACAGAAGTCACCTGTCCTGTCCTGCCAGGCAGCTCCAAACCTCCCAGCACACCACCACTAAAATCACCAAGATTCATTCCAAAGATGCATCTTTCTCCATCTCCTTCAAATGTTTCCTTCCCTGCTCTGAGGCACAAATATGCACAAGATCATCACCTTAAACAAGAGTCTCCACATGCCACCACAGCTCCCCACAGCCTGGACTGTGACTCCAGGGTTCCAAAAAAGCCTTAAATCTGACCTACAGCACCACAGTCCTCCCTGAAGCAGCAGAAGAGAAGCAGCAGCACTCAGCTGTAGGATTTCCTCTTGACAAATCCTTATCCCCCCCCTTCAGAGAGACATTACAAGAGCAAAACTCAGCTACAAAACTCTTAAATCATGATCATTGCACCACCTTAGTCCACCAGCTCCTTAAAGAGCTCCCCTAATAATAAAATGTATACATTTCTGTGTACCTGGTGTGAAGGTATTTCCATAAACCCCTTTGGAAAAGCTTTCCCAATCTCAGAGAGGCACTACAACACCCTGACCATGAAGTGTGGCCAATGTCCCCACCTAAAATTAGGCTTGGTATTATTTGCCAAGTCATGACACACAAGAAAAATTCACCAGGAACAAACAAAAATACTGGAACTCACTGAATTTGGAAAAAAATTCCAAGACCATCAAGTCAAAGTCCAATCCCCATCTCCACTTTGTCACCAAGCCCAGAGCACTGAGTGCCACATCCAGTCCTTCCCTGGACCCCTTCATGGATGGGGACTCAAGCTCTGTAACTGGGAAGAGTTCTCCTTTTACACCTCACCATCCAAGGGCACATAGTATTAATTTTCTGTTCCACCATTTACTCAGTTTAAAAAAAAAAAAAGCTACCACAGCAGTGGTCTGATTACTCCATACGAACATAAACCTTTGAACACAAAGGCATTTTAAAAACCATACTTTTATCCACAGTAGCAGCAGTTCTACCTCACTGCATTCTCAGCCCAAAGGAAAAGGGGCAAAGAACAGGAGAATTCAGGATTTGGAAGCTACCACAGGCACTGTGCACTGTCTCAGAGGTGCTGGCCAGGCTCCCAGACCTCCCAAAGCAGCTCCTTACATCCCTTCTCCCCAGGAGAAGGAAAAGCACCAAAATTACAAATCTCACATCACACTAAAAGCAAGGCATGAGAGACTAAGCAGCCACACTCCATGGCCACTGTGTGACACTGAGGGGACACAAACAGCTCTCAAGACCCTCTGATGTCCCCGTGGAGGAAGCCACACACCCATGAGGTCCCTTCCACAGAGCCACACTCCTCCCCACCAGCTCAGGGCGAGGGATGAAAGGCAGGATTGAGATGAAGGCCAAGGAGGAGCAAGGGGGAGCAGGAAAAAGCTCCTCCAAGGAAGCTGATGATGCCCCCGTTCCGCCTGGCTCCCCACAGGTTACCCTGATGTCCCTATGATCCCATTAGCTCCACACCCATTCCTCCTGAACTCGCTCAGGAAGCGGAGCTGAGTCACTCTCCAGCTGCCTGCTGAGATAATGCCTCTGCACAGAGGCTCAGGGCAGCAAATGCACTTCAGAGGCACGCAGGGCATCCAGCAGCATCCCCAAATCCCACTGTGGGAGCGCTCCTTCACACACCTGTGTCCTACCAGCTGGCACTACAGGCTCCTTGGCATCACTCCTCCAGCTGCACCACAGCCAGCGGATCTTCACCTCTTGAGATGTTACAAAAACTCTGTTGTGCACAGGGATATACCAGAGGAGGGGGAGAAGGGATTTAAATGTGTTATATAAGCACGTGTGTGTGTTTTATATATACACAACTCTGCATACAGACATACGTACATTTCTGAGTTCCCACTGCTGTGAAATAAACATAGCCACAACACACCTTCCTAATATTTCTGCTTGGGGAAGCGTCCACAGAGAATCCCAGAATATTTGGGGTTGGAAGGCAACTCTGGAGATGATCCACTCCATCCCACCTGCAGCAGAACACACCCAGGCGGGTTGGGATGTCTCCACGCCCTCCTTGGGCAGCTGTTCCAGAGCTCTGCCACCCTTCATGGAAAGAAGCTTTTCCTCATGGTGAGGTAGAACTTCTCCTGGCTTAGTTGACAGCCATTGCTCCTCACCCTGCCACCGAGCACCACTGGAGTGACTCCATCCTTTTGGAGATATTTGCATGGATTGATGAGACACCCAAAGCCCTGCACATTATGTTTCACTAAGTCCCATTAGCATTTCTATTAGGGATTTTCTCCCTGGCAGACAATACTGAGTCAACATCAACCCCAGGACTAATCATGGCAAATAGAAAAAAAAAATATTCTCAAGTCTGAATTTTCAGGTTAACAGTGCTGTCTCCAATTCTGTTTGGGACTACACAACTGTTGCATCAACTTCTCCATCTCCCACAACCTGCAAAAGCTAAAACATCAGAAGACTCACAGTGTGCTTTCTTAACAACCTTTCTTAAAGGTCCATAAAACACATAGAACCAAACGGAATATTCATTTTCTTCAGAGGACACCAAAAAGAAGCTATTCTGCCCAAAGAAGCCTATAACAGAATGGCACAGGCAGTGAATCCAATGTTCAATTAGCTCTAAATTTATCTCCTTGTGACACTTCATCCACTTTCAACCCTCACATCACATCTCTGTCATGCAGCAGAGAAATCCCCGTTTGGTGAGGATCTCTCCCTTCTTGCAGGAAAAAGAAAACAAACTATCAGAGAAACATAAATCTACTATAAAACCATAACAAACACCTCTGCAGAGCAGCGGACACAAAAAATACCAACCAGGCACGTTGCATGGGCTTTTTCAAACTGGGAAGGGTTTTTTACCCTTAAATTACATTTAAACCCACTTTTCTTAGCACACATGCAATCCCCCACACTGGAGATGTAAGTACACTGAAGCTATGTTACGAAACAAATCTATTTCACTTTTTTCTCTCATGCCACTTTCAAATTAATTTCAAGACATTCCTGGAAAGCTGGGCCTGGGCAGTCCCTCCCACCACAGCACCAGCCCTCCTGCAAAAGAGGAACTTGCTTTCGAGTGTCACTGGCTTTAACATCAGCTCATTCTACGTGACAATTCAGTCATTCCGAAATATCCATCCCACCCCACCCGGCAGAAAATTTGGAAACTTAACAAGCGACTGCCATCGGTGGCACTTCTGCTTCCCCGCGCTTGTCCTGCATCCTCAGCGCTGGAATTACCCACAGGTCCCACACACTGGAATTAGGATTTTTCTAGTCATTTTTAAAAGCCAAGCTGTCGTTTTCTAGGGACACACACACAGGATTTAAAATTAATTCCCACAATTCAATCAGGCTTTACTCAGCCTCAGAAACTCCCTTCTTCCTGCTCGCTTTGTCGATGAGGTTTAGCTGTGCATTTCTATGAAAAGTTGTTCCTCACTATCAATCCAACCCAAGAACTGCGGCGGGCATTGAACTTCACGTTTCCAATTTGAATAGTCCAATTTATTATTTCCTTCCCCCACACAAGCGCTCATTCATGCCGCTAAAGTTCTCTGCGCCGCACCGCCGGAATAAAACCTTTTGCTCCGAACGCAACATCGTTAAACTCGGGAGGTTCGCGCCGAGAGAAGCACGAACCTCACCGGGGTTTGGTCCGGTTGAGTCCCAGCGGGGATGTCCGAGCCGGCAGCGGAACAATCCCGCTCTGCTCGGGCGGGACGGAAGGAGCGGGCTAGGAAATGGATCCCGGCGCGCAGGAAAGCCCCGATCCCTACGAGCATCCCAGCCGGGACCGCGCTGCCTGCGCCCCGGCCGGGCAGCGAGAGCCGCCGGGAAAACAAACACCTCGAGCGGCAGCAGCGCAGCCAGGGAGAAAGGCAACTTTCCCTGGCTCCCAGACAACCCCTCAAGTAGCCGGGAGGAGGGCGGGGGAGGCAGGAACCGGAGGAGAACGCGGCGCTGCACGCCGGCCATCCGCGGAGCCGGGGGCAGCCCCGGTGCGCAACAGGCGCGTCCTCACCTACGCCGTACTTCTCCTCCCTCTTGGTGGGCACCCAGCGGGTCATGGCGCCGGGAGCCGCCGGGATGCCACGGCCCCGCTCCCTACGCCGCCATTTTCCGACCGCGGGACGGGAAAAGTTTCTCCCGACGGCGGAGTCATGTGGTGCGGGCGGAGCCAGCCCGGCCCGGCCCGGCCGCCCTCCGCCCGCGGCTCCGCACAAAGGGAGCGCACGCCCGGCGCCGGCCTTTGGGCGTGCTGCGCTCCGCCTGGCCCGGATACACCCGGCTGTTCCCACCTGTACCCGGTAAAGTCCCAGCTGCACCCGGTTATATCCTTGTATCCCAGGTGTACCCGGTTGTGGGCCATGCGTGCACCTGGTTATGTCCCAGGTATCTCCCCGCCTATTCCCGGTTATATCCCAGGTACACCCGGTTATGTCCCAGGTGCACCCAGGTGTGTCCCACCTGTACCCGGTAAAGTCCCAGATGCACCCGGTTATATCCTTATAGCCCAGGTGTACCCGGTTATGTCCCACGTACCTCCCCGCCTATTCCCGGTGATGTTCCAGGTGAACCCAGGTATGTCCCACGTGCACCCGGTTATGTCCCGGTACCTCCCCGCCTATTCCCGGTTAAGTCCCAGATGCACCCTGTTATATCCGTTTATCCCGGGTGCACCCGGCTGTGTGCCATGTGTGCACCCAGTTATGTCCCAGGTCCACCCGGTTATATCCTTATATCCCAGGTGTACCCGGCTGTGTCCCATGTGTGCACCCGGTTAAGTCCCGGGTGCCTCCCCGCCTATTCCACATTGTGTGCCTGGTGCCTCCCCATCTAGTCTCGGTTGTGTTTTAGGTGTACCCAGTTATGTCCCGGTACCTCCCTGCCTATTCCCAGTTACATCCCAGGTGTACCCGGTTAAGTTCCAGGTGTACCCGGTTATATCGGGGGTTCGGTCTCTTCCACCGGGCAGCACTGACAGAACAAGAGGACACAGTCTCAAGCTATGTCAGGGAAGGTCTAGGTCGGATATTAGGAAAAAATTTTCACCAAAACAGTAATAAGGCACTGGAATTGTTTTCCCAGGGAGGTGGTGGAATCACCATCTCTGGCTGTGTTTAAAAAAGATTGGACTTGGCACTTGGTGCTGTGGTCTGGTTGTGGTGTTAGGGCATAGGTTGGACTTGATGATCTCAGAGGTCTCTTCAAAGCTCATTATTCTGGGATTCTGTGTCCTGGTACCTCACCACCTATTCTGGGTTATGTCCCAGGTGCACCCAGTTATGTCCCAGTACCTCCCCGCCTATTCCCGGTTGTATTCCCGGCACCTCCCTGCCTCTCCCTGGTTGTGTGCCAGGTGCACCCCGTCGTGCTCTGCCCCAAAGGCTCTGGCTGCATCCTCCACGGAGGTGCAGCTTTAAAACAAAGGGTTTTTGGAATGTTTGATGGTTGGAGCGGGATGTGAGGCCAGAAGAACACTGGGGTCGAGCGAGGCCGAGTGCGGGTGTTGTAGCTGGGCCGGGAAAAGCCCCGGTACCGATGGGGGGAACCGATGGAGCAGCCCTGGGAGAAGGGCTCAGGCTCTGCTGGTGAGAGCTGGACATGCCCCAACCGTGTGGGGAAAAAACCTCCAGTCCTGGACTGATCCCACACCAGTATGGAGGAGGCAAATTCTGTCCTTCTGCCCCACCTGCCGAGCTGCCTCCAGCCCTGGGATCCAACATCAAAAGGACGTGGAGATGCTGGAGGAAGTCCAGAGGAGGCCATGGATACACCCCGAGGGTTGGAGCTCCTCTGGAGCCAGGCTGGAAGAGCTGGGGGTGCTCAGCTGGAGAGAAGCAGCTCCAGGGAGAGCTCAGAGCCTCTTCCAAGGGCTGAAGGGGCTCCAGGAGAGCTGGAGAGGGACTGGGGACAAGGGATGGAGGGACAGGATACAGGGAATGGCTCCCACTGCCAGAGGGCAGGGATGGATGGGATACTGGGAAGGAATTTTTGGCTGTCAGGCCCTGGCACAGGGTGCCCAGAGCAGCTGTGGCTGCCCCCGGAAGTGTCCAAGGCCAGGTTGGACACAGCTTAAAGATTATAAACCTTCTGATTTCTAGACCCAAGTCCAAAATCCTGTCCAAATCTAGCATCTCCTGCTTAATTAAGTGTGGAATAAATGATTACAAAAGAATAAGCAAGGGAAGTGAAACTTCCTGTTCCACATCCCTGTCGTCTTGGAGACATCCAGGACTGTGCTTTAAAAAATAAATAAATTTTAAAGCCTTTAGGAAATAGAAAATAAAGTGTGTAAAAGTCAAGAAACAGCAGAGTGCTAACACTTAAAAGGAATAAAGAGAAGTGAAATGACAGACTGGCTGTCATTTGCTAGGATTAGTCCTCTGACAAAGGGGAAGCCCTTTAGCACAAATTTAAGGATTAAGATAGATCCAGGGTTGAATCTTTTTTCTCCTTATTTTCTTGTGTAGTGTGGATGGCAAAGGACTATTTTCTGCAACAGCACTTTTGCTGTCAGCTTTTGAGATCAAGTGCTCAGAGCCCTGAATGAGTCTGCTCCTCTTCTCATGTACCTTCCCTTTTCCCACCCTTGGGGTTGGTTTCCCAGGAAATCACCAACGTGTTCAGACTCATCCAGGTTTTATTGTAGCTGTCCTGCAGAATCCCAAGGGCTGCTGGAGCCAGCTGCTGCACCTTTCTTCATTCTGCCCAGGAGTGAGGACATCAAAAGGTTCTCAAAGCCATGGCTTGTCCTCGTTCTCCTGCACTAATGGAGCAATGATTTAGGGCCTTCCCAAAAGCAGCTTACAAGGTGTCAGAATCTGAGGTATTGATGATTCCCAGATTGTAGAAATTCTCTGTCTCTCAGCCCCGCTGCCAAAGCAGAAGCCATAATTGGTCTGTGCTGGTTTCCAGGTTGTTTATTCTGTTTATCTCTCACATGTTCTGCTGCCCTGCCCAGCTCTGTCCTGCAGGGCAGCGTGTGGGGCTCTGCCCTCAGTGGGATGTGACAAACATTAAATACCAGAAACTCCCTGGGCTGCATTTACAAGAACGTGCCAATATCTGTCACCTACGTTGGACAGTGTGTCCCCAGCCTGAACCAACAGAAAAATGCCAACACCACAGTGAGACATGGAGGGCATGAAGAAGGAGAAAAAGGACAAGGCACACCCAATTTCCTCCATCTTGTCCCCTTTGGACCCCTCATCTAGAATCCTAAAATTTTACTTTTGCACCCGTGCCACACTTAATTATTACTGATATCAAACACTCAGAGCTGGTAATTGATCCTGTAAGGTTGAAAACTCTTTTCCATGGGCAGAGATCCCAGCCAGTGTCTCTGGGGGCTCTGTCCAGGGGGGTCCCAGGGCAGCCAGAGGGATGCTCTGGACTCCCACAACAAGGGAGCTCTTTGATTTCACACCTTTATTTTCATAAGGGGAATCAAAGTGAATTGACTGAAATACTGGATGTGCTCACTCTGTGCCTTTAGTCACCTTTGGTTTTTCCACAGCAGGGAAAGTGAAAAGCAATAATATTTACTTCCAGCTATGAATATTACACCCTTTTATACAACTGGTGAGTTATTTTTGTGGTGCTCCTATATATATGCAGCAAAACTGCCAGAGCTGCTCAGGCCTCAGGTGCTTTAGGGATTTTTGAGGCTATTGCTGGAACAATCTGTAAATCTGGAAGCTGTTGGATTTTCATTCACATCACTGATATGCAGGAATCACTTCTGTGGAACCGTGGTGGCTTTGCAGGTCTGGGGGTGTGAGCAGGGGACACAAAGCAGCACGCTGACATTAATTTAAACATGTAGTTAGTTAATAAATCAGTTATTGCGGCAGTCTGTCCTTTCTGGGCCTCAGGGTTCAAAGCTGAAATGTGTTTGTGTCTGTTCTGAGGGAGGCCAAGGGAGCACTCGTGTTTCCCTTTATGAGAGACGTGCTCCTGCCAAGTTTTCTTCAGGTGTTAACCAAGAGTTAAATTAAATTCTCCCAAATTTTGGCACTCCTTAGTCCCAGCTTACCTTTATATCTGCGCTAAATGGGAATTATATGGACACCAAAGATCGAGCACAAGCCTAAGGCAGGAAGCACCAGGTTCAATAAAATGAAAGTTAAAGAATTACTTATAACTTCTACATATTAAATCCATTCAATAGCACAATTTATGTTGATATCAGTGAAAAGGAAGAGGTTTGTCCTGCTGTCTGATCATGAGCTGTAACAAATAGAAGAGAGCTGATCCCGTGACCACCATAAAGCCTCACTGCTACTGATGAGGGTCTATATTCATTTTACTGCTTTCCACATTCTCATTTTAATGAAAACATGTTGCAAGTAGAGCTAATGCTATAAAAAGTTTGATAGCCAGTAAAAAATGCTTCTAATTCACAATGCATAAATATCCCAATGCTGGGGTTTTACAGCTAGGAAAAAAAATTGTAATTTTTGGACTCTGATATAGAGAAAATAAAAGATTTTTATTTTTTTCTCCAGCAAACCTAATATTAACTGTCCTGAAAAAAGCATTTTTCATTAAACTGTAAAATGTTCAAGCTGACATATTTTACATGTTTAAACATAATATATTTCTTTGCACTGTGCATGTGGGTTTTTCATTTATTAAGAGGAAACTGAAAAATGCTTCTTTCCACAAAACCTGAAAGTTTTATCACATCCTTATGTCAACTCTTGGGGTTCTCATCTGATTTTTTTAATGCATGACACAGAATTGGAAACACTTCTCTTGGAGCAAAGGAACATTCCTTTTCATTTCTTAGTTGCAAGAAATCCAAATGCAGTATTTGGCCATGAATGGTGTTTGAAATTCTTGTCACAGCATCTTTTCTAAAGGATGAATGGAAACAGAGCTGCTGCCCTGCTTGAGACACATTTGCAATAAAAAAGAGATATCCCACAAATGTACAGATATGATCAAGATTTGTTTCATGGTTATTGCAGATGACTACACCAGGGGAATGTTTGCTCCATCTCTGTTAAATATCACAAGTTTTTGTAGTCATTTCTTTTCATTGACAGGCCTTGTAGGTAAATTCAGCATTTTCAGACAAAACACATAAGTAGTTGTTGTACACCCACAGTGCAAATTCTTCTTGGAAATATTCCTCCCAGGAGAAGATGGGTGGACTTATA